GCGAGGTCTCCGGCAAGGAGACACGGGGCCAGAGGTTGAGCTGATGCGCGGCGTACCGGACCGCAAACGGCCACAGAAAATGGGGGGCAGCCGCATGGATCATGGAGGTACGAGCGACCTCCATGACTAAGCCAATGCGGCGCTCAGCAACCCCATTCTGCTGCGGAGAGGCCGGAAGCGTGAACGACTGGGTGATGCCGTGCTCCGCACAGTAGGCTGCCAAGAGGTCGGAGGAGAACTCACCACCTCTGTCAGAGTGCAGACGCAGGACAGGAAAGTCCGACCGGAACCGCTCGCGGAGCTGGAGACGAACAGCGCGGATCCAGGGGATCAAAACAGCAGGGACGTCCCCCTTGCTCTGCAAGGGGAAGACCGTGGTGTAACGCGTGTAGTCGTCGACGACCAGCAGGAAGTACCGCTCGCGGCCCTGTCCCTGGACGCGGGCTGGGCCCCACACGTCCAGGTGGAGCGTCTGCAGTGGAGCCTCTGTGGGAGGAAACGAGGAGGAGTGAGGAGCGGCGCGCTGCCGCCCCTCGACGCAAGGAATGCAGGGCGGCGCAGGCGAGGGAGGGAGGGCAGGCAGGGACCTGGGAAGACCAGAGACCAGGGAGCGAGAGTGCATGCTACGCAGGCGAGGCAAGGAGGGGTGACCAAGGCGGTGGTGCCACAGGAGAGTGTCGTGCGACAAAGCGCGACACTCGCAGGGGGCCGCCAGCTGACCAGACGCAGACGCAAACGCAGACGCAGCTACCTGAGGGGACTCAGTGGTCAGTGTGTACAGACTCGAGCCAGGTGCACGGGTGAACGTGGCCAAGTGCCGGCCCGTCCTAGCACACGTACAGTGAGTCACTCGCTGACTCGCAGGAGTGAACTGGTCAACCCCCCCATCCTGGAGGTCAGCTCCACTCACCAAGTTCGTAGAGAACGAGGGGAGGTAAAGACCTGACAGCGAGCCGGACGGGACGGCCGGACACGGCAGAACCGTGGAATAGTGGGCAAGGACTGGACCCCCAGAGGGGTCCGCCAGGGAGACCGGGACTGGCCGACGGAGCGGCGTGAGTGCGGTGCAGTCGCGAAAGAAGGAGCGGGAAGCTCCTGAGTCAAGGGTGAAGGTGTGCGAGACCGCAGTGGGCGCAGTACCAGAGAGAGCAGACACAGCAGCACCTGATGCCACGGCCTCACCAGTACCTAGAGCAGTAGACGTACTAGCACCGAGAGCAGCAGCCTCACCAGCACCTAGAGCAGGAGACGCACTAGCACCTAGGGCAGCAGCCTCACCAGGGTCAGGCGGTACGCACAGGCAACAGGCACGGTCAGCACTAGTAGACAATGCATACATGGCAGTGAGAATAGCATCATAGTCAAGCGCAAAGATATCTACCCTCTGTCTATGCAGCTCCAGCCAGGTGGGGAGCTCAGCCTCGTCGCCAAACACTGTGCGCCAGTCGTCGCTCAGACGGGCGAAGCAGCGGGACTGTGTGTGACCAAGCGTCCCACAAGGCTGACCAGTCCTAGCACCTGTGCGAATGACGTACGGGCAGCGGACTGTACGCGTAGACCTGCTACACTGAGCGTACCACTCCTGGAGCTGCCGGGGCGTAAGTGTCTCACGTGGACGTCCCTGCAGCTGCAGCTGGCCACTGCCAGACGCTCCCAACTGACCAGCTCCAGGGCGACAGCTACGACGGCTACCGCGACAACCCCAGCTAGTATACCACTCACTAAGCTGCTGAGGCGTCAGAGGCTCGCGTGAATGTCGCTGGAGCTGCATCTGGCCACCTGCCAGTAGCAGTAGCGCAGGCAAGGCAGGCGCGGCAGGCAGGCCGGCAGGTAGGCAGGCAGCCAGGCAGGCAGGCAGGCAGGCAGACAGGCAGGCAGGTAGGCAGGCAGGCAGGCAGGCAAGTAGACACGCAGGCAGACAGGCAGGCAGGCAGGCAGGCCGGCAGGCAGGCAGGCAGCCAGGCCGGCAGGCAGGCAGGCAGACAGGCAGGCCGTCAGGCAGGCAGGCAGGCGCTCACCAAAGGCTGGGAGAGCAGGGCCGGCGCTCGAGTAGGCGCACGACAGCGGCGACGTCGGGGCCGCAAAACCGGCTGCAGAGCAGGGCCGAAACAGCTGGAGGGCGGGGCCGCGTCAGCGGCAGTAGCAGGGTGGGGCCGCGTCAGCGGCAGGTCGGGGTCGTGGCAGCTGCAGGGCGGGGCCGCATCAGCGGCAGGTCGGGGCCATGGCAGCTGCTGGGCGGGGCCGCATCAGCGGCAGGTCGGGGCCGAGGCAAAGGGCCGCGCGCGGCCGCGCTAGGGAGTAGCGGGCCGCGCGCGGCTCGGCGCGGGCTGTTGCGGGCCGCGCGCGGGCCGTGCGAGGCAGGAGCAGGCCTCGCGCGGCTCGGCACGAGCTGCTGCGGGCCGCGCGCGGGCTGCGCGAGGCCGTAGCAGGCCGCGCGCGGCTCGACGCGGGCTGCGCGGGCTCGGCGCGGGCTGCGCGCGGCAGCTGCGAGCTGCGCGCGGCTCGGTGCGGGCTGCGCGCGGTTGCAGCGGGCTGTGCGCGGCTCGGTGCAGGCTGCGCGCGGCTGCAGCGGGCTGCGCGCGGCTCGGTGCGGGCTGCGCGTGGCTGCAGCGGGCTGCGCGCGACTCGGGGCGGGCTGCGCGATCTCGGTGCGGGCAGCGCGCGGTAGCAGCGTGTGTGCGGGCCCGACAGGCGTGTAGAGGCGGCGCGCGGGCCTTACGGGCCTCTAGGGGCAGCGCGCAGGCAAGGCAAGGCAAGGCATACAAGGCAAGGCAAGGCTACGTGGGGTAGCGCGGTAACCGCAGCGGTAGGTGGGCCCGAAAAAAACGGTCCTACGGACCTTAGTGCTCTGAAACCATGTTAGAATCTAGAAGCAGGAATGGATGAACTAACAGGATGCAGGAGTACAAGTAGTAAACCCTAACTAGGTTGTACCCCATATGGGCTACCCCACTACAGCCTAGACAATATGCAGCACATATAGTTTGACAACCTAGGAACTTAAGCTCTGATACCAAGTGTTATGAGTTGTACTAAGAAGAGTGCGCGGAAGACTTTATAAAAGAGATGAGAATTACAGAATGACGAGAATGATAAAGAGACGAGCATTTATAGGGTCGAAACCGTGCTAGGCGAGGACCTCGATGTGCGTGGCTCGGGAATGTCGCAATTGGTGCGGGGCGACTCGGGGCTGGTTCGGTGCGAAAGTGTAGGCCGAGCCACACTGACGCGAACTGCTCGGGGCTGTCCTCGCTAAGGACAGTTCTACAGTAATGACTTTCACATTCATTACAACTATCGTGGGCTGTGTGAATCGAAGTTCGTCCTGACCCGCGACCTTTTTGTTTTGCGTGACCTCTCGTCCCTCCCCTCCCTCCCCACTCGACTTTCATCTTTCCGCCACGCGCCAGCAGCTCGCGCATTCCCCCGTCACAGGCCACCCATCCCATTGGTCCGCCGACCGCACCGACATTCTTGCGTTACTCACAGCGAGCAGCGAGTTGCTCTTAGTCTGTCGTCGCGTCGCCGCCGCTCGTGCTCGCACCCGTGTGCTGCATTCGTTCGCGCAAAAACGGCTCTTGCTTCGTACGAACACCATGGCTTCCAGCAGTTCGGTCCGCTTTCGCGAAGCACGCGCCTACCAACTTCCCGCCCGTTCCCCTTACCAAGCACTTAGGGAGAACGCGGCTGCGCCGTGAATCTATTGCCACAAGGCCCACCCGAGCACAGAATGGGTGACTATCAAAACCTAATGCCGCCAAGTCTCCGTTGTGGACTTGCCAGGGCAAGTCGCACAAAGGACGAAACTATCCACCGCGATGGCGCCGACGGGAACGAGCCGACCAAGGGCTATTCGCCGCCACCTATTCCCTCTCAAACCGGACTGCTCTCGCGCTTCCGCTCGCCCTCTCCGCTATCTCTCTCCCTCTCCGCCTCTCACTCTCTCCCGCAGCGTCGCGGGTTCAGTATCCACGGGTGGCGTATAAGAAGCACTGATCTTTGCGTCACTCGTCTTGACGAACCTTGTATGGGGCGAGCAAGTGATTACCAGAAGCGCTTAAAGTGCAACTCCTTGGTGCCACTCTTTTCAAAACCGCGCTCAACGCTCCTTAAATGGCGGTCCTGTTCTCTCACACGCGACTGGGTCGCGTTGCGCTGGTGCTGACTGTTCTTCTCGTGCTCGCGGGTGAGCAATCGTATGTTGGTACACCGTGCAGTGCCAAGAATAGCCCGTGCAGTGCCAAGAATAGCCCGTGCAGTGCCAAGAATAGCCCGTGCAGTGCCAAGAATAGCCCGTGCAGTGCCAAGAATAGCCCGTGCAGTGCCAAGAATAGCCCGTGCAGTGCCAAGAATAGCCCGTGCAGTGCCAAGAATAGCCCGTGCAGTGCCAAGAATGGCCCGTGCAGTGCCAAGAATGGTCTGTGCAGTGCCAAGAATGGCCCGTGCAATGCCAAGAATGGCCCGTGCAGTGTGTTCCGAGTCTTTGAATCTTCTATCTCCAAATCATGTCTTCCGCCTCTAACCACACATCCCTCTCTCCGCTGCCTCTTCCGTGCTATGTCTCTTATCTTCCTCAACCCCCAAACCTCACACTCCCATGCCTCCCTTCCATACCTCCGTCCCGTGCCTCCCTCTCGTGCCTCCCTCCCGTGCCTCCCTCCCGTGCCTCCCTCCCGTGCCTCCCTCCCGTGCCTCCCTCCCGTGCCTCCCTCCCATGCCTCCCTCCCGTGTCTCCCTCCCGTGCCTCCCTCCCGTGCCTCCCTCTCGTGCCTCCCTCCCTCCCTCCCGTGCCTCCCTCCCTCCCTCCCGTGCCTCCCTCCCGTGTCTCCCTCCCGTGCCTCCCTCCCGTGCCTCCCTCCCGTGCCTCCCTCCCGTGCCTCCCTCCCGTGCCTCCCTCCCGTGCCTCCTTCCCGTGCCTCTCTCCCGTGCCTCCCTCCCGTGCCTGCCTCCCGTGCCTGCACTCCACCTTTTACTGCATGTGGCTGTCATCTCTGCCCCAGTACCATCAACAACCAAGGTGTGAACGCATTATAAGGTGGATGCACGATGGTGGTAATTTCTTTGGCACTAAATATTCGTTGGGAGAAACTGGAGGCCACATTCATATGCAGGCGACACACACACACACACACACACACACACACACACACACACACACACACACACACACACACACACACGCGTGCACGCACACATACTCCCACACACTCCGCACCCTAGCAGGCCAAGGCAGAGGTGGTGCGTGGGGGCGCCATTCATCCATTCCTTCTCACTCACTCACAATCTCCCTCGTGCAGGCGAAGCTGGTGGTGGTGGGAGGGGGGGGCGTGAGCCCATGGAGCGAGTGGAGCATGCGCGTGTGGAAGAAGCCGGTGCTGCATGTGGGGGACACTCTTGGTGAGTGATACCTGCACGCCCGCTGTATACTGTGTGCGCACGGCATTCTTTCAGCCCGTGGAGCGAGTGGAGCATGCGCGCCAGTGCTGCATGTGGGGGACACGCTTGGTGAGACCTGCATGCCCGCCGTATCCCTTTTTTCTTCAGCTGTGGGGACTATTTTTTGAGGCGCCTCAAACCATGGAGCGAGTGGAGCATGCACGTGTGGAAGAAGCCGGTGCTGCACGTGGGGGACACTCTTGGTGACATCTCTGCATACCTGCGTGCCCGCTGTATCCTGTGTGAGCGTGTCGTGCTGTATCCTGTGTGCTGTACTGCTTGCCATCGGAGGAGCGAGTATCACATCGCTGCAGCTACCAGGGTCTTGTTGTTTCCTTCAAGATAGGAGTCTGCTTCTTATGTCAGGAATCGGTGCCTCTCTGATGCTGCTTCTCACACCATTGTGCATGCTAGTGCCTCGCATGTGCGTGTCCTTTCCCCCATACATTCCCTCTGCTTCTGATCCTCTGCCTGTGTGCCTGTCTGCATGTCGTTGTGCGGATTCTGCCTTGTTAGATTTTTTTTCCGTGCTCTTATTGCCCCTTCTCCCTTCTCCTGCGGTGCCTGGCAGTGTTTAAGTGGTGGGGCTTCCCCAATGACGTTGTGGCAGCACTCAATAAGAAGCAATTCGATACATGCAACTTCACCATAGCAATTATGCTGCACAGCACCACTTGGGTGGGCAAATTCAAGATTGCGATACCGTCAGGCACCAAGCGAGTGTTCTTTGCAAGCAGCATGCGGGAAAGGTGCCGGAGGGGACTCAAGTACGACACAGGTACTATTTTACCCTGATTTACAGTCACAGCCCACAGGTTCATGTGGTAATTCAGGACATGGTAGGTAGGTAGGTAAGTAAGCTGCACATACAGCATGGCAGCTTGGGGAGCAGCTCAAATGTGGGAGGAGTGTTTTCCTGGATTGCAAGGTGCAAGCAATACTAGTGGAGTACCATGAATGGTTAGACGAGTTAATGTACTGCTATATACCACTGTACAACAAACAGGCTACAAAGAAAGGAAATGCACCAGCAGAACGAGCACACAAAAGAAGCAAACGAATAGACGCAGATCCTATTCCCGCTTAGCAAGAACCGTAACGGCCTCATTTCTTGACGGAAAGAGCCACTTTCATCTTGCCCGCGCAGTGGCCTGGCACTCCACAGGCAAAGTACAGGATGCTGCCCGCTGCTGTACTGGGCACCGTGAAACTGAAAAAGGGGAGCAAGCCAGGCAAGACAGGCAGGGTTAAGAGCTGTGACGAGCAAAACGAGATGCGGCGTCCCTAAGCAAGCAGAGCCTTTTTTTACTGGCCCTTGGCGGCAGGCGCAAAGGCTGAAAGGCGCAAAGGAATCCGAAAGACATGATGCACATTCAAGAGAGAGAGAGAGGCAACAGGAGTCAGCTAGAACTGCTGGTAAGCAGAGGCATAGGGGGAACTGAGCAGGAGACATGTGTGGTGTGGTGCTGACCTGTACGTCGTGCCCGTGGCTGCGGGTGCCTTCTGCTCAGCGGCTTGGAAGTCGCAGGCCTTGTAGGCTGCGACGGTGCTCATCTGCCACACGTCGTGGAACCCGCTCCACTTGAACACTGCCGTGCCACGGCATGTAGGGTAGGTATGGGATGCAGGGGAGCAGAGGATGATGCGACAGGTGCATGGGACAGGATGGATGGGCACAACGGGGAAAGGAGAGAGCAGGATCGGCCATTTGCGCAAGGTAATAGGTTTTGGGTCTAAAGATAGGGCGGAGAAAGAGCGAAGACCATCGGGCATGCAATTCAAGGACGGTAAAAAGAAGCAGAACAGGGAGAATGGCGCATTAAGCGGGGCCCTAGGACTGGAGTGGTGGCGCACGTGAGGGGCAAGGCACGCACCGAGCACGTCGCCTGCTTTCGCGGTGGATTTGGGCTTCCAGGTGCTGATGCCGAACGTCCACTTCTTGCTGCCGCCCACCACGATCTCACGCGCCTGTGGGTGTGGTGTGGGCAGCAAGCAAGGGTAGCAATGGGGCATATGCATACATGCTGTGCGCGCCCGAGCATACGTTTCTTGAGCCGATGTGCGGCGTGGGGTAACCTCGGAACAGAAGAATGCGCGTCGGACGCAGTGGGAGAAGGCACGAGAGCAACGAGACCGGAATAGCACGCCGAGCATGGGAGGGAAGGTCTGGGTAAGGGGCGGGGGGAAGAGTCAGGCAGCACACGCAAGCGCAAGTACAAGGGGATTCAGGTTTGGCGAGAGGCGAGAGGCGAGAGGCGAGAGGCGTACCTCTGCGTGGGTTGCGGCTGAGGAGCACAGTGGAAGCGGGACCGGGGGGGAGCCCATCGGCGGGCGCGATGCGACGGCGCGCGAGAGTCGACAAGGGGGGAGGGGGAAAGAGGAGGGGGGGGAGAAAAGGGGGTGACACGATGAACGCAAGGGTTCGAGCTAAGTGAGCGCGCGAGTGAATAAGTAATAAAGGAAAGGAACAAGCGATTCGAGTTGCGAATAGGAAGCAGCAAAATCGCAACAGCGAATTGGAATAAACGAAATTGAAGCGAGGGTGTGAGGCGTACCGAGCAGGACGAGCAGGCCAACGGCGACGAGCGCGATTGCGGAGAGCGAACGAGCCATGGCGACGACGAACGGCGCGTAACGAGATTTTGTGGCTTGGAGAGGGCCGAGGAGAGGCGGGCGCACGTTGAAGAAGACTCTCAGACGCCGTACGAGCTGTGATGGCGACGCTTCGAGCCGAGGAGAGGCACCGGCTTTGCTTGACTCAATCAAACAATCCGTCTTCTGAGCCGCAATGCACGATGGCGAAACGCGACGGCTGGATGATTAGCTAGGCGCGGGTAGGCTGGAGAAGCGGAACCAAAGGAAAGGTAGGCGTGGGCATATAAACGGGTATGAGACGAGCGGGTTTAAATAGTAGTTCTTGGTAACCATCATCGCGGGAGCTGGTGGTAATGACGCGATGAACGTGGTTGCCTGTACTACAGGTAACAACGTGGTGTCGCGCGCGCTGCGAGGAGAGGAACGAGCGCAGCGCAGCTCAGGCGCTCGTGCGTTTTGCGGAGCTGGCGGTCGGCAGGTTGACGGCGGTCAGGTGACGGAGTGCAGTGCGGAGGCACAGCTCGCCTCGCTCAGACGGACATGAAAAAACGCGCGGAGGTGGGGCCACCTCAGATATTTCGCGGGATGTTCACCGCACCGATTGGGTCAGATATTCGTGTACCTGAGCCGGGGGGGCGCCCAACAACAGACAGGATAAACTGGATTATGTGGCCCGATTAATAACCAGGGACGTTTGGGGCGGCAACGCGGGTGGCGGACTGCACGCGGATTCCGCTCAACTTGAACTGCCGCAGCGACCAACCTGGCGCGACGCGCCCCTGACGCGCATGCCCTTCAGCTTCAGGGGATGCTCCGTTAGAAGAAGCTCCGCCGGAGTGTTAGCGTGGCTAGCGAGAGATATATAAATCTCTCAACATATACATGTTTGATTTTTGTCTTGTTACAACCCATTTCCCTTGTCCGGCAAGCGAACATTGGCGTTGTTCTGCGGGCGTTATTGGCGCCGCACCAACTTGACCGCGGTGGCCTTCCGTGTAATTTCTAGGCGCATTCATGCTGGTTGCGTTGCACGGAAATTGCTGCCCCGCATAACTTGTACGGAGGCTGGTGCTAGCTCCCGAGGTAGAATCAGCACCGCACAAGTTGTGCGACCGTTTGCCCGGCGAAGCAACAACTTCGAACCTGCAGACGGTTAAATTTGTTCGCCCCAAAAGTGATGTTCTGCAGGCGTGAGCGTTAAAATTGGTGCGAACAGGTTTGGCAGGACCCCTCTTATCACCAAACTTTGATAGGCATAATACCGCCTATCAACGAAGATTCTGCGGACCCAGTTTCTGGAATTTTACTGTGTTTGTTCTTCCTACTAGCCACTGCTTTCACTCCAGGCGGGCTCTAAGGGCGTATTCCTATCCTCCTATCAAGAAAACCTCTTATCAAGCTCACACTGAAAAATTCCCTAAACCCAAAATCTCTCGCTACTTTCACCAGGCAAAATGTGCATTCTTGATAGGAGGTTTCTTGATAGGAGGCCGTAGGAATACGCCCTAATTTGGCTGTTTTTGCCTTTCCTGTTCCTCTCGATGTATTGTTCGGTTACTACCTTTCACTAAAACCTAAATGCAGGTATCTCGAAACGAAGAATCTCTTGTATAGGACAGCAGCACAAAGAACCTCGACAAAATCTCTGGCATGCAGGGGGAGCCACTTCCTCTAAACTTTCTTTTCTTGATCGCTGCTGGGTCACGCTTGGGCCAACCGCGTCTAGGGGCGGGTGCTGTAGTGCCAGGTGGTCGGCGCAGTTTGAGTTGCGGGGAATCCGCATGCAGTCCGCAACATGCCTTGCCGCTCCATCCGGGGCCAACATCATAGACATGCAACTTAGTCTGGTAACCCTATGCAATGGTATGCAAAACCGTCTTACCTCAGTTTTGGAGTTATTGACAAGCTGTCTTAATAGCGCGTTCGTTTTTAAATTTTAGCTTACGGTATGACTACCGCGTTTGACTTTGCACTAAAACGTGATTTTTTCGGGCCAAGAAAATAATAAAACCCAATCGGAAAGGATGCGTCAGGGAGGCATCAACCCTAAAACTATGTCCTTTCCCGTGTTTAGTGTCAGAGGTCCACTGGTGATCCCCGATTGATCCTAGGGAAGGGTTACAGGCATGGCGGCCTGGGGGGTTATGGGCGCACTCACCCGCTACACAAACAAGCCCTTTTATCCCAGTGGTTAGTGGCTGGGATTCTGACATGTTATCAGAGCGAAGGTCTCGGGTTCGAATCCCGGTGTGTGCACCTCGGGCATCCCAGTGCGGGGGGGTGTCAGAGGTCCACTGGTGATCCCCGATTGATCCTAGGGAAGGGTTACAGGCATGGCGGCCTGGGGGGTTATGGGCGCACTCACCCGCTACACAAACAAGCCCTTTTATCCCAGTGGTTAGTGGCTGGGATTCTGACATTTAGGGTTGATCCCTCCCAGAAATGCGTCCAGGTCGCTAGGGGTTTTATTGTTTTTCAGCCCTGCCCTAACAAATGCAGGTAGCAATTTATTGGGTGCAATATATTCTTTCAAAATGGACCCCGTGTAGTTTCATTCCAATGGATTTTTCGTAAAATGTATCGTGCGCGTTTAGCGGAAAATAGTAGCCCGGAGGAAAATTTGTTAGGCGCCGAACGGGGCGCGGTAAGAACCACGAAGATACGAAATCGTCAACGCAACCGATATTTTCCTTTATTGTCCTGCGTCTGCTGTTACACAGTGTTTTGAGTGGCGGAACCAGACAAACTTGCGCAGCAGAACTGTCAAAATAGGAGCTAGAATCATGAGCCATAGCTAGGTAAACCCTAGCTAGGCAAGAGAGAAACGAGCAAAGGAGGGCTTACACTAGCAAGAATGGGGATACAAATAGCAAACCCTAGAAGGGTTGTACTCGCTATAGAGCACCCCACTACAGGCTAGAGCATAATATTCTGACACACCCCCATAGCCAAAGTGGGGTGTAATCAGCAGAGCAAGCAAAGCAGTACAAGCTCAGGGTGGATCACAATGTCACCACACATTCTGAGCACAAGTTCAAGAAGCAATAGTTTAAAGTTCACAATTATGAGCAAAGCTAGAGGCAGTCACAGAGGGCAAGTGAGGAGGAGGAGGGCTGGCGAGAGGAGAGAAGAGTGGAGGCGACGACTGAAGCTGCAGACACACGGGCAACAGACGGCTCTGGTGCAACTCTAGTGGCTACCGGGAGCAAGGGCCCCGGAATACAGGAGTAACAGGCTCTGCGTCTGATCAGCAGCGACAGGAGCAACGGACCCACGGGCGACAGGTGCAACCGGCTCTCTGAGCTACCGGTGGCTAACAGAACCCCGGAATACAGGCGCTGCGGACGACACGACGGCGGCCTCCGCTCAACCTCCCCCGACCGTCCCACACCCCTCTCACACACCCCCTGCTGAAACCCTAGCTCCACTCCCATGGCACCCCCCTTAAACCCTAAACCCTCGGCTCCCACACACCCACCCCCCTGAGCAGCAGCTGCAGCAGTGGGAGACGGAGGAGGAGGAGGAGGAGCAGGGGACGGCTCACACTCACGGCACCCCCATACCCTCCACCCCCAAACCCTAACACAGGAACGCGGGCAGTAGCGGGGGTGGGGCGCCGGCAGAAGCTCGGGGGACGGACGAGGCGCGCGCACGGGCCTGCCGCAGGCCGGACGAGGCGCGCGCGGGCTGCCCGGGCCGCGCGCGGGCCTGGCGCAGCCCGTACGGGCCGCGCGCGGGCCTGGCGCAGGCCGTACGGGCCGCGCGCGGGCTGTACGGTGTCAGAATATTATGCTCTAGCCTGTAGTGGGGTGCTCTGTAGCGAGTACAACCCTTCTAGGGTTTGCTATTTGTATCCCCATTCTTGCTAGTGCAACCCCTCTCTTTCGCCTAAACTCTCTTGCCTAGCTAGGACTCTCCTAGCTATGGCTCCTAACTATCTTTACTATCTTGACATGCTATCAGAGCAGGTCGATCCCTTTGGATCGATCCTGTGGGTGGGCTCACCACCTCGTTGCTTCCGCTGCAACTTCCGCTGCTACTCTATGTGCCGCACGCCCCGTGGCGTGCGGCAGTTTATTCTTCCCGCCGTGCGCCCCGAGGCGCGCGGCGGTTTTCTGCCCGCCGTGCGCCCCGTGGCGCGCGGCGGTTCTCTGCCCGCTGTGCGCCCCGAGGCGCGCGGCGGGCTTCTGCCCCGTCACTCGACGCGTCGCCCCCGGGAGGCGTTGCGACGGGCGACGGGGACCCGCGCGTCGCCCCCCGTCGCCCGTCGTGGCCTGCGCGCGGCCCGTACAGCCGGCGTGCGGCCCGTACGGGCTGCGCCAGGCCCGCGCGCGGCCCGTACGGGAAGCGCCAGGCCCGCGCGCGGCTCGGGCCGCCTGCGCGCGGTTCGGGCGGCTATGCCAGGCCCGTGGGCGGCCCGTTCCTCGCTGCCCCTGCCCTCCCCACTGTCCCCCGTGCTTCTACTGGCGCCCCACCCCTCCTACAGCCCGTTCTCCTGAATTAGGGTTTGGGGGTGAGGGGTATGGGGGTGAAGCCACTGAGTGCCGTTCCCTGTTCCTCCTCCTCCTCCGTCTCCCTGTGCTGCAGCTGCCGCTGAGGGGGGTGGACTTGTTGGAGCCGTTGGAGTGGTACTAAGGGGGGGTGAAGGGGGAGTGGAGCTAGCGGTGTAGCAGCGGGTGTGTGTCAGGGGGAGTGGGATAGTTTGGGGAGGTTGAAGGGGGTGGCCGCCGTGAAGCCAGCAGCTCCAGTCGCCCGTTAGACCATTGCGCCAGTCGCCCGTGAGCCCGTTGCGCCAGTCGCCCGTTGCTCCAGTCGCCCGTGAGTCCGTTGCTCGTCTGCCGCTACTTTCAGCCGCGGAGCCAGTTACTCCAGTAGCCCGTGTGCCAGTTGCTCCAGTTGCCAGTGTGCCAGTTGCTCCAGTTGCCCGTGTGCCAGTTGCTCCAGTTGCGCCGTGTGCCAGCAGCTTCAGCTGCCGCCCACTACCTCCTCTCCTCTCATAGTCTCTTTCCTCCTCCTCACTTGCCCGTTGTGACTACCACTAGCTTTGCTCATAATTGTGAACTTTAAACTATTGCTTCTTGAACTTGTGCTCAGAATGTGTGGTGACATTGTGATCCACCCTGAGCTTGTACTGTTTTGCTTGCTCTGCTGATTACACCCCACTTTGGCTATGGGGGTGTGTCAGAATATTATGCTCTAGCCTGTAGTGGGGTGCTCTGTAGCGAGTACAACCCTTCTAGGGTTTGCTATTTGTATCCCCATTCTTGCTAGTGCAACCCCTCTCTTTCGCCTAAACTCTCTTGCCTAGCTAGGACTCTCCTAGCTATGGCTCCTAACTATCTTTACTATCTTGACATACGGGCCGCGCGCGGGCCTGGCGCAGCCCGTACGGGCCGCGCGCGGGTCCCAGGGGCGCTTCGACGGGCGACGGGGGCGTTTCGACGGGCGACGGGGGGCGCTCCGACGGGCGACGGGGGCGCTTCGACGGGCGACGGGGGGGAGCGCTTCGACGGGCGACGGGGGGCGCTTCGACGGTGGGAAACCGCCGCGCGCCTCGGGGCGCACGGCGGGCAGAAAACCGCCGCGCGCCCCGAGCGCGCGGCGGGAAGAAAAAACGAACATCGCGCGCCACGGGACGCGCGACACACAGGAAGGCAGCGGAAGCAGGCGGGCCCACAGGCCAGGAGCGTAACCGCTCTGATAGCATGTCAAAATAGGAGCTAGAATCATGAGCCATAGCTAGGTAAACCCTAGCTAGGCAAGAGAGAAACGAGCAAAGGAGGGCTTACACTAGCAAGAATGGGGATACAAATAGCAAACCCTAGAAGGGTTGTACTCGCTATAGAGCACCCCACTACAGGCTAGAGCATAATATTCTGACAAGAACTGGGGTATCGACGGTTTTGCATACAATCGAATAGGGTTACCATACTATATTGCATGTCTATGATGTTGGCCCCTCCATTCGCCTCTGTCCGTGGTTGAGCAGGCCCTGCGTGCACGACCCCTCTACAACCTGTGAGGGAGACGGGAGAGAATTGCCGCGGCGCGGGTTTAGGTCTCGCGAATTTTTTTCATCGCGCTAAAATTTTTACACAACCCAAAAGGCACACGCCCCACCTTTTATCGCGAGCGGCGCGCGCTCCCCGGATTTAGCTTCATTTAAACACCATAAGGCCTTTTTTTCGGGGGTTCCAAAATGTCGGTGGGCAGTTTGCTGGTTGACATCGAGCTTACCTGCCACGTAGTTTCATCCTATTGGGCATTTCGTTCCTGACACTGATGAAGTCGGTTCGGCGTATGTGTGGCGCGTCCAGGTTCGGCAATCAGTTTCGGTTCAGAACTGTGGGGGAATGGAGGTTTGTGGGGTTGAACGTGGCGAAACAAGACTGGCGAGTGTTATTTAGCCATTCTTTCGGGCGTGCCACGCGGTTCTACATAAACGTAACGTGGACCCTGCGCTACACAACTTCATCTGTCGGGCGACTCGGTTCGATTCTGACGTTCTGAACTAGATTCCACGTGCAAGTACTTGCGTCAGACACGTCATGCAAGAATGCATGCGAATCGTTGTGTTGGCGGGCGATCTGCGAATTTTTGAACGATCCGTGTAATTTTGCCCTCATCGCGAAACTTTTACCATATACATGCCAAAGGCGACGTGTGATTGGGTACAGTGTGTTCAGAATCTGATAATAAACGCGCCAGCGAACATAACACGATTCAGGCGCCGCGAGTTCTGACGATTCGCACCAGTGGCAGCCGCTGCAAGTAAGATGGCACCTGGGACTGTCAACTGAATTATTGTTGTTCCTAGCTGTTGTACGAATTGTCAGGGTTTCCGAGTCCACCGTAGTCGTCATCTCACCAGAGACAGTTCTACATGGCGTACACATGTGTTGGCGTCTCGCCGTTAAAAAGCGAGGCCACCAGATGACCATGTACATATAGCGAGGGGATAACCTAGGTGTTGTATCAGATACACGATGGAGGAACCTCCGGCTAATGGCCGTGACATGTATGACATTATACTGGAGAACTTTGATGTAGAGTTTGAACCCGAAGAGGGGCCTACTATCAATGACAACGCTGCCATTGAGGAGGGTAACTGGTGCTCCTCGCGGGATCATTGCCTCTATGCTTTGCTTGATGCTGCGGTGACTCATAAATACGGTTTCTACATGAAGTCTACCAGGAAGGCATCGGCGCTAGCATTGTGCAAGAGTCAGAAGCTTGGGTTGGACCCCCCTTGTCCATGGCGGTGCAGCTACGCGCGTCTCCAGCGGAACGGACCGTGGCGAATCGTGGAGTTGTCCGATCCCGCAGAGCACACATGCGACCGCCGCATGCGGGCCCGGTGGTGGCCGGGTATGGGACGTAAGAGGAAGTACCTTTGGCGGAAATTCGGCAACTTCGTCCGTGCAGCGCCGTTTAACGCCCCTTGGGACTACGCCAAGCAGATCCAGGCCTGCTATGGCCCGAAGTTAACTTACAACAACGCCTATCGGTGAGAGTACACCCGTCATAGGCCGTACATCAGGGGATCTTCTATGTTACAGCCAGTGTTGCCTCCACTTCACTCATGTCGTGACCGATACCACCCATACATTCCTCCCACGCAGGCTGAAGGTAGGCATCACGGCGCAGCGATTCGGCGACTGGTGCGAGTCTTTCCGCTACATTCCGGCGGTGCAAGAGCGCATTCGGCGGATCGACAGCGGAGCAACCGTGGAGCTTCTGACGTACAACCACGAATTTCTCCGCTTCTTCATGGCGCCGAGTGCAACACGCGAAGCGCTGAAGACCTGCAGGCCTGTCATCGCAATGGACGGGACGTTCCTGATCCGTGCTCAGAAGGCTACCCTGCTGTACGCCAACGCGATGGACGGCAATCAGCAGATCATCCCCATCGCGTGGGCCCTCGTAGAGAGCGAAACCAAGGACACATGGACGTGGTTTTGCCGTCTCTTTGACAAGCACTGCTCCGGCTGGAAGGGACGGGACGACGCGGCCATCATCAGTGACCGGGACAAAGGTCTCATCCCGGCGGTGAAGGAAGTGTTCCCTGAGACTCCGCACTACTTTTTTGGGTGGCACATGCAGCAGAACGTGAAGCGGTTCGGGAAGACCTCCTCGGACATGTTGTGGCGGCTTTTGACAGCCCGGACATTGGAGAAGTACAACGAGCTCAAGGTCGGTGCACGGGAATCCCATCCCCTGCTCACGACTTACCTCTACGGTCCGGCGCCTGTGGCCGACGCGGTCGGTCCAAACCCCACTCCACCAGCTGGTTTCCGTATTCGCCGACGCAACGTGCAGCAAACACGCCGGACGCGTGCGACCGCCAACAACATTGCGGCCGATGCGGCTGAAGCACGGCGTCGTGCTCGCTAGGCACTATCGCAGCGAAGCGGCCGCCGACAGAGACAGAGCGGCGCAGGACGACCACCTCCGAATGCCGCGGCGGCGGGGCCGTCCGGAGCGCCCCGGCCGTCCACAGCACCGTCGCCCGCTGCTGCGACCCGCCCCGCCGCTGCACATGCATCATCCGCCACGCCAGGCCCGTCTGCAACGCCAGGGCCGTCCGCAGCACCCCGCCCTTCCACAGCACCGTCGCCCGCTGCTGCGACCCGCCCAGCCGCGGCACATGCATCATCCGCCACGCCAGGCCCGTCTGCAACGCCAGGGCCGTCCGCAGCGCCCCGCCCTTCCACAGCACCGTCGCCCGCTTCAGCGACACGCACATCCGAGGCACATGCATCGTCCGAGTCGGCAAGCCCATCGGCAGCACCAGGGCCGTCCGCAGCGCCACCCCCATACGCAGCACCGTCCCGCGCTTCTGCGACCCACCCTTCAGCTGCACCAGCATCTTCCGCATCGCCATGTGGACCCGCAGACCCGATGCCCACCGCAACCCCTCGCCCGGCCACTACTGAAGGACCATCCACAACGCCGTCACCAACCACTCCGTACGACCCATCTGATGCAACAGGTGCGTTTGAATAACGTGTTGTCAATACGCCCTTCCTGTTGTTATGTGTGCTCGTGACGACTATATGCAACCCGTACCCACGCCACAGTTTGTGTGAGCGCTCCTACACTTTCTGGCGTCTTAACTTGATAAAGTACTGCGCAGTTGGTACCGCAACTCACATAGCCACAACGGCCTTTCCCGTGTCCATGTTGCAGCCCATCTTGCCGGAACAACCACACCTTCTTCTTCCCAGCCGGCGCCACCTACACTGCGACGTTCTACACCGATCGTGGTGCCGAGCGGATGGCGAGGAACAGCTGCGTGCTTCAACTTTGACAACATTGTTCTGAGAGCTGCGGTCCCGGGAGTCACCGCACCAACTGAGGCACCAACCCGAGAGCCACCTCCGACCGCGGCACCCGCCCGCCAGCCACCACCGACCGCGGCAGCAACACGTGACACTCCTCCTACAACTGTGGACCCGGGACCCGCGGTTGGGAACACCAACGAGGCTATTCCCAGCGTGGTAGAGGACGAGGCGAACGTCGTGGAAGAGGGCTCCTTGGAGGACGGTGAGGATGGCGTCCGGGTCCGAACCGGCCTTCGCGGTGATTACGCTGCACGCAGGAACAGAATCTGGGTGTACGAGAAGCAATGGGCTCGATGTGCGGCCCCAACGCGGAGATTCGGCATCTACACGAGCAACATGGCGGAGTCGACCAACGGGGCCGTAAAATCCATCCGCCTTCTTCCACCAGCGTATCTGTTAGCTTCAATGTGGGACTACAACGTCAAAAAGTTTCACGAGCTGCGTGAGGAGGCTAGAGCCCGGGACGACTACTTAACGGAGTGGGGGAGAAAACGATATGAGGCGAAGTGCGAGCGGGCAAAGAACTACGAGGTGAAAATCTCCCACATCGAGTTCCTTGCGGAGGTGATAAACAACGGCAACGCGGAGGACACCACCCCCCGAAGCTACAACGTCGACCTACGTGACGAGGGTAGCTGTGAGTGCGGCAATTGGAAAGAGTACGCTTTTCCATGCGCACATGCTATGGCGTTTTTCCCCATGGCGAACAAAAACGGGTGGGAGTATGTCAGCGACTACTACACCACAGTCAACCTCCGCGTAACATACTCCCACGCCATTCCCGGTACCTGCATCGACACCCTGATGGCACAGACAACACCTGTGCCTCAGGGCGTGTGTGACGCACCTACATTCACTCGTATGGGTCCTGGCCGTCCCCCGTCCAACAGGCGCAGGGATGCTCCGCCGGCGAACTATCGCTGCCGCACCTGCTTGGGGCGTAACCACAACTCAGCGACATGCACCCAGAAGTATGGATCCGACAGGGCTGCGGGAGGTGTGTACCACACGGTAGGTTGAGCTTTGGTGATCGTACTAGACTTGGAGCACGCAGCCGCACAGTCGTACATTAGAATAGTGGCCGCCATAAATTTATAATGTAGCTGGCATGTGTGGTTCAGCACCTAGCTAGCCCACATCTGTAGGGGTCTTAGGGTTGACAAGTTGGATTACGTAATAGTGCTACGTAAGAATGATCTCCTTTGCTCACATATGTTTGGGACCCCATCGTATCGAGCATTACTTATGCGAAACGCTAAAAAACAGAGACAGTACGAGTTGTGTAATCGGAAAACGGATTGGTTGTTGATCATGATCGTAATTAACAGTTACAAACACAAACGTCCTGAACAAACGCAAAAAACACCGATGCTTTTTCGTTAATGATCCAGATGTTGTTTAACACAAACAACGCCCATGGGCACATGATGCATGCTCATACTACCTAACCAGGTCATTCGTGCCCCATTACCGCCTACAACCAGTGCATGCCGCAGGCTCATAAAACCCATAGTTCGCATGGGACCAGAATCGAATATACTGCGATGTTTATTTGTGGGAGCATCAACCGGAGCGGTAGGGCGACCGGTATGTTAATTAACGCACAGCGTGAATCGGATATTAGCCTGACGAATTCCACGACATATCACGGTCCACGTGGATAACACCGCGAATCATTCGAGGGGACGTGCCAAGTGTACGTCGCAGCCTCGCATCAGTTGTATTGAACCTTGAGACGCGCATTCGGATGTGTCATTACGTTTATTAACAAAATAAATAGCACAGCGCTAACAAGTATTGGCACGCCTAACGGAGCCGGATCTCGAAACGTGCGGAAACACACTATCGATCGGTATGTCTGCTTGCGTGAACTGGTTTGGTTTGTGTTCATTAGCGCAACAAAATGGAACGACCTTAAAACACACAACGTTAAAACGGCATACCCTGATCACACAAAACCTTGAATCCCACGGTGCCATTTAGTTTTGCAATTGGGTATAGGCAAGGTTGTTGCAGGACCATTTCCTAACATGCTAAGGCAAGGTCAGATGGCATACAGATTCCCGCCTACAACTAGTGCTTGCCCCACGCGACAACTATGCTACCACACCAGTTGGCCCTCAAAAGTGACGGACGGTTAAAAACAAAGGGTGACACGAAGCCACACAGAGAGCTAAACTCGCATGGCTGGGAAGAGGTGCAACGGCACCTCCCAAAGTAGATGGCGCCCCACCAGTGAACGCTACGTGCGGAGTGGTTATGCAACATCCTCTCTTGAGCCACGCATGTAGTGTTCCTGCTCAACACGTGCGTAAACAGGGCAAATGTTAGTACAGTGAACCCGAGCAAGACATGACCATCCGATGCATGAATCTTACTCTAGTCGTCGTCATCGCGCACCCATAACTGGGCAGGTTGATCCCCATGAGTTTCCGTCACTATGTCCGCGGCTTCGCCGTGGAGCACGCCGGCAACGCCTCCAGCGGTGGTGGGCGCACGACGATCGGGAGGCGGTGCAGACTCCCCGCGTGTTGGAGGCTGTATGGGGCTATTCCCTCCAACGTGCACATGGGATGGCGCTGATAGCGCCATTCGCTCGCGGGCAATGCGCAAATCCTGCGCCATCCACTCACGGACGAGTCCCTCGATGCGTGAGAGTGCGTCCACATGACATTCTTTGATGGTCGCGCAGACAAGCATGGCGGCTTGCATCGTCGCCGTCTCATGCACCCGGGCGCGCCTAGGTGTAGCCGTGGTTTGCGGCGGCGGAGCTGTGGCAGGGACGTAATGTTGCACGCATGGTGTGAGGTGTACAAATGAAACAACACGAGATTGCAGGGTCATGTTGCAAGTCCAAACGCATGTTATGAGATGTAGAATTGAAACACCATGAGACTGCAGGTTCGAGATTGCATGTGCATGATGGTCTCACCCAAATGTTCGCTGTGGTCTCACACTCATAAACCCACAAGGCTCACACCTGTGAAGGTAGGTGTCGACGTGACATGCTGAGAGGAGCTTGGTACATCCATGCCGGCCACCTTGTTGGCATTCGTGGCGCCGCCTCCGTCATCTCCGTGCGCACCGGATGCTCCGGTGGATAAGTTGTATAGCTCCATGTATGGCCACCACGGCGGTTTCTCGTAGGAAGACTGGCCCTCGTGATCCATTTGTTTGTATTCGTCCCACGGAACCATCAAGTTGCGCCACTGCTTCTGCAGGGCATTGACGTTCCTGCACCAACCCGGATTAGCCCCCGTGATGTGATAGAGCAGGCTGACCCAGTATTGCGTTCCCTGCTTGCCCTTGAGTGGCTCGAGCTTATCTTTGGTATACCACCGAGCCGCGGCCAAAATAGTGCTTTTCTTGTCAGTCCACGCTCCCCTCTCGACCGGTGCAGCGGCCCGCTTCTTCCGGGCCTCCTGCCGAGGCGGTGGTGCAACCGCCTTGCCTTTGCCTTTCCTTGCGCCAACCCCGCGTGCGGAGCTCCGTTTCGGCGGGGCAATTACGGGTTGCGCATGCCCCGCCGCGTCGCCGCGTGCGTCGTCGTCGTCGCCGTCATCGTCGGTAGGGGACATGCCAAGATCTTCAGGCTCGACATCCTCTTCGTCGGTGCCTTCGGCCTCGCCTTCGTACTCGTCATCCTCGTCGTCGTCAACTTCTTTCTCCGCAAACGGACGTACTGGTGCGGCGGTTCTGGTAGGCTGCCTGCGCACGCGCGAAGGACCCGAGCTGGGAGAAGGTGCACTGGAACCCTGCCCCTCACCTGCATGCGGCGGCCGTATGCCCGTCAATGGTTGGTTTTTTGCGATCTGGTCGTTGATCCAGCGGATGTAAGGTATTTCATTGAGGTCCTTTGGGCAGTCGTTAAGGGACTGTCCCTTACGCTTGCGCCCCATTCCGGGTACTGTGCTACGTTATGGAAACTAGATCCAGGAACCGAGTTTGCTCAACGGGAAGGATTGACAAGGTACTGAGGACAGCTGCGCCCTTATGTGCCAGTCATGTGATTCGAGCAAGAAGCTTTGAGGGGGATAAATGTTGGTCCAGTGGCGAAAGGTACACCTCCGATTGGTTGCGCGCCACTGTCAATAATCTAGGATGCGTCCAATCGACCAATCACCCTGCTTATGACTGCTCGCACGCGGATTCACTAGCCTGTTCAATGTCGACAAGGTACAGTCACCCTGGGTGGGACATGTCGCCTCACGTGCGAAACTAGCGAACCGAGCCAATCACGTACGCATGTCACGACGTCCAATGGTATTGGACGTTGGCGAAATTCATTTTGGGCCAGGTACATGACAGCGTGGCGTTTGAGCAGGATGTACGCATCAAAAACAGATGGTCAAAGTGTTTGGCCTTCGGATTCAGCCACGCAATGTACACTCCTATACAATTTGGATGAGTTTATTAACACCCTACTTCTGATATGTTCATTGTTGTATTGACATTGCTTGGAATGTTGCTGATGATCTTACCAACCGATATGTTCATTGTTGTATTGCCATTGCTTGGAATGTTGCTGATGAACTAAATAAATGAATTGGGGTATACGAAGCGTCCCCCGCTGCGATCAGTAGATGTTCGTAGCTCAGAATCAACGCAGGTATGTTCACACGAAGTTAGGTTGTTTGGTGTGCCCGCGGTCTCAGTAACAGAGCTATTAAATACCTTGTACTTCTATCTTTCAATCATCTTGTTCTCTTTCAACTATTATTCAACAAGGTCACTACAGAGACTCCACATTCTCAGCTCAGGCTTAACACATTCTATCCTATCCACTGATCCTTTGGTTGTATCAGCAGTCGTTACCCTTGACGATGCGGCTATCGTGCGTTTGTTAACTGACGCCGACATGTTAACTGGCGGGAATAACAATAGTCGTGGTTACAGCGGCTATGCACCACAGTTCAAAAGGGAATGTACTCCTCTTAATACATGGCAGGATCGGTTTGCTGAAAAGTTCCATGTATTCATATATTTTGTTCGTGTAGTTTTCTTTCAAATATTATTCAACAAGACGGGCTAACAACCGGATTATAGAGAAGACCTGGAAGTTAGTGTGGTATACCATACGGGATAGGGTTGGCTCGGCTTATTTGCTCGGATCACTCAAATCATCTGTGGGTGTTCTTAATGGGCGTGCTGGTGGTGTTTTCTTGATGTAAATGCTGTTGCTTTTTCTACCTACCTCTACATGTTTCTCTTCCTCCTACCGTTTTCCCCCCAATTCCCAACCTTTTCACTTCTTCTATCATTTTTCCAACGCACGGTATTCCTTCTTTTCGTGTCCATTTACGCTTCCACCTATATTCGTTGCGTAATTGCACTACATTGTACTATTGCATGTTGTAAGTTTGCATTCCTAGAATTATAACAGAGAAAACACATATGTGTGTTACGTATAGTTTGCTCGAACTGTTATAGTATTCATTCTAGTAGTTCATGAGGTGGGGTGCTTGTATGGCGCGAGGGCCTGTGATACACATTGGGGCTTTTGTTAGGACCAATAATGTCATGATTAGCTTCAACCTCAGTTCCTTAGACACAGGGAGAACGTCTACTAACGGTGTCTAAGTGATGGGATCACTCAAATCATATGTGGGTGTTCTTAATGGGCGTGCTGGTGGTGTTTTCTTGATGTAAATGCTGTTGCTTTTTCTACCTACCTCTACATGTTTCTCTTCCTCCTACCGTTTTCCCCCCAATTCCCAACCTTTTCTCTTCTTCTATCATTTTTCCAACGCACGGTATTCCTTCTTTTCGTGTCCATTTACGCTTCCACCTATATTCCTTGCATAATTGCACTACACTGTACTATTGCATGTAGTAAGTTTGCATTCCTAGAATTATAACAGAGAAAAAACATATGTGTGTTACGTGTAGTTTGCTCGAGCTGTTACAGTATTCATTCTAGTACATCATGAGGTGGGGTGCTTGTATGGCGCGAGGGCCTGTGGTACACTGGAAAAAACATATGTGTGTTACGTGTAGTTTGCTCGAGCTGTTACAGTATT